CTTACAGTTTGGACCTCAGTTTCCTGAAAATAAGTTATTTAGCTGAGGAACTCCAGCCTGCATGGGTAGAATACAAAGAGCAATAAAGTTAGACTTCCAATAAGGAAGCCAACCCTTATCAGCTGCTTCCTTTTTATCTCTCCAAAAAAGGAAGCACCATTTTTTGCCTGTTGACCTGGTTCTTTTTATTTTGGAATTAACGACTACAAGATAATTATTAGTAAGATTGCTTGATTTAGCAATAAACAAACAAACAAATAAATAGAGGTTTCACAGTTAAATTTGAATTTCAGATAAACAATGAAAACTTTTTTTTCTATACGTATGTCCTGTAAAATAATTGAAAAAAACTGAAAAAACAAGAAAATTTTCCTTATTTATCTGAAATTCAAATTTAATTGGCCACCCTGTATTTAATCTGTTCACCTCATTTGTTGGGAGATCAATTATTTCTAAACATATTATTGCCTTCTCTATAATCTTCATCACCCTTATTCTCTATCCCCCCCCACACACACACAGAGATTTTCACACTTTGAAGTACTACAGGTGTTTTGTAAACAAAATAGAACACTAATTTGAATATATGTAAAACTGCTTGAATTCCAGAACTGCCAGTGATTTTTTTCTTTAATTTTTCTTTCTTTCTTTATTTTTGGTACTGGGGATTAAACCCAGGAAATTTACCACTGAGCTACATCCCAATCCTTTTTATTTTTTATTCAAAGGCAAGGTCTTGCTAAATTGCAACTCCCTTGCCTTAGTCTCCTGAGCCATAGGATTATAGGTGTGCACCAGACAAGAACTACCAGTAATGACTTGGGTTGAAACTCAGGAAGAAATCCATAATCTCATATAATTATATTTTATCACTTATTTTACATATACAATTACAGAAATAAGCTCAGAACTGAATTTTTATTTTAATGCATTTATGTTCTCTGGTTTCAGAAAAACGCAATCTGGTTTCTCAAAACAATTTAATGTGATAAAATACTGCCACCTGGAGACCAGAAGCAGGTATAGCTAAGAGCATCTTCATAATTCTGGATTGAAAGCCTGAGTTATGGTGACATGTGATATAATCATGCCATTCTGAACCCTGCCCTAATCTAGGCCTAATTTTTTCTCATTTATCCATTCATTTAATAAATATTTGCTAAGTTTCTTTTATATGCCAAACACTATGTTAGATTTCATGAATATAAAGATTATATAACCTAGTTCCCTCCTTGAATAACAGACAGACTAGAGGTAAAGACAGGTAGATTGGGGCTAGGGTTGTGGCTCAGTGGTAGAGCACTTGCCTCTAGCATGTTTGAGGCAATGGGTTCTATTCTCAGCACCATATACAAATAAATAAAATAAAGGTCTATCAACAACTAAAAAATATATTTAAAAAAAAAGACAGGTAGATTATCAGATGTCATCCCAGGAACCACTGCCCTTTAAAATTAAAATTCGATTAAAACTAACCCTACCTGTATATAGCAGAAAACACATATGTGTCCTTCTAAGTGTAGGGTAGAAAGTGGTTTGCAATTTTCCCATTCACTGTGGATGCTAAGTTCCTGCTTCATATGAGGCAGTTCAGGGTATAGACTATTGATATACATTTTGTTTTTGTTCACTATATCTCCAAGGATACAGAGCACAACCTTTTTTACTTTAGTTCTATAATGACTCATCCACATAAAGCTTTTCATCCATGACATTTGGAAGTATGAGTAGCATGTATGTGTGTTTACAGTAACACTAACAATTACAAATTAAAATTAAAATTCCTTGCTCTTTTAAAAGTCCTCCTTCTACCTATCATTTTAACCAGTTTTTCTTCTTCTGCCACCCTCTCTTTGCTGTTTCTTAGCAACAACACTCAACCCCCACACTCCAGGGAGCGATTTTTCCTCCTTTATTACACAGGGCAAGTTGACTTTCTCAATTTCATATCCTCAAACTCAGCTTCCTACATATCTGTGTGTGTCCAGTTGTCATTGTGACCCCATAACCGGTCATCTACCTTGAGTTTTACCTCCTTTCTTGCCTCTACATACAGATTTATTTTTCCAGTGACAGAAATCATGCCAACTTCTTAAAAGGCAGAGTGGTAGGAATTTGGGTTTTAAACAAACTTCTTTGGTATTTATGTGTATTTTCCAATAACGGAGATTGAACCCAAGGCCTCACTGTGCTAAGCAGGGGCTCTACCATTGAGCTATCCCCCTACCATTTCACAAACTTACTTGTTACACAGATATAAAGTGTCATGGTGGCCTCCTGGCTTCCCTTCTGCTCTCCCTGTCTCCCTTCTTTCCTTCCACTTCCATTAACATATTATGAGTTAGTCCTTCAAGTGTTTCTTGGCAGTCTTTTGGTACTTCATGCGAATACTGGTGAACTTGGTCTAAACTTCTAGAAAAGGAGAGAAAACTGAAGGAAGGGTCATGATGAAGTATGAAGTATAACCCATGATATATTTTTTGTTTTCTGGTTAACACAGCCTTCAGAAATTGGAGTGCTCCTATTACAAGAATTTGTGGAAATGACCACCTACCTTGGTGATAACCATCCCCTAATCCTGTCAATTACTCTTAGCCTTAAAAGGAAGAATAAGTTTGAAATTGGATTAAAACATGAATTTGCAGAATCACAAACTATCCTAAATGATAAGTTTTAAGAACTAAAACTAAGTTTTAGTTCCTAAGCATTAGATCTTTTGGCAGGAAGGCCAATCTACTGCTTCCTCAAACATGCCAAGCTCACTTGTGTCTTAAGACCTGAACTTCAGGATATGTTTTGTTCAGGGATGTTCCTCTCCTAGATCATTCCAAGGTTGGATCAGGAGCTTCATTCAGATCTCAACCTAGAAGTTGTCTTTTCAGGAAGGCCTCCCCTGATATTCATCCTTCAGTACCCCACTCCTTACAATAACTCCCTATGACTTTAAACTGCTATTTCAAGGCATTTAACCATCAAATGATAGTCTTATTTGCCTCCTAATTTATTGTTAATTTCTTTTATCAAGAACACAGATCTCTGACTACAGGGTTTTTTTTTCTGTTGTTGTTGTTTGTTACTAGGGATTGAACCCAGGGGTGTTCTACCACTAAACTACATCCAAACCCTTTTTATTTTTAGGTAGCATCTCCTTAAGTAGCTCAGGCTGGTCCCATATTTGCTATCCTTCTGCCTCAGCTTCCTGACTAGCTGCAATTGCAGGTGTGAATCACCATGCCCAGCACTGTAGGGTTCTGAGAAAAGATACTGATAAGAATGTATCCCAGGGCATTGATTGTAATAGCAATAAATGGGAAAAGATCTAAATATTCATCAATATAGGAGTTCCAAATAATTTGTAGCAAACCTATTTTGATTATATTGGCAAAAAATGAAGTAAATATATAAAGCAATATAGATAGATTTTAAAAACATAGAATGGGGTGAAAAATATTGAGTTGCAGATCAATTCACAAAATACAATAGCATTCATGTAAAACTTCAACATTCCAAAGCCATTTCATGTATTGTTTATAAACACATAGTAATGCTTTAAATATAGAAACCTAGTTTATTAAGATTCATTTTCAGGGGCTGGGATTGTGACTCAGCGGTAGAGTGCTCGCCTAGCACGGGCTGGACCTGTTCAATCCTCAGCACTACATAAAAATAAAGGCATTGTATTGTGTCCATCTACACCTAAAACATAAATATTTTTAAAAAAAGGATTCATTTTCATTCCTGATCCTAGTTGCCTCTTGGGAGATTAGTAGAGTGGGCACCCACTTTTACTCTAATGTTCTATTTCTTTCGTCTAAAACTGTAAAATGACAAAACTTTGACATCTGTTCATTTTGGATACTGAGTACGTGAGTGTTTGCTCTGTGTTTTAAATTTTTTGGTTTTGTTCTGTCTGCCAGGGGCAGTGTCCCACACACGCTTTTAATTTCAGCTACTTGGGGAGGCTGAGACAGGTGAATTGCCAATTAGAAGCCAGCCTGGGAAATTTAGTGAAACTCGGGGTCTAAAAAAAAATGTAGGGCGCTGGGGATGTAGCTCAGTGGTAAGGCGTCCCCTGGGTTCAATCATCACACTCACACACACCCCAAATCAATCATAATTTAAAAATGGAGGGTAGTGGAAGAACAATCCATACTAGAAACCAGGAGACTTGGATTCATCTTTGCCTTTTCTCTCTGGCATTGACATAACCTCATTAGCAAATAGCCAAGGCGGTGTTCCTTCAAAGTCCCTTCAATTTGAAAGAATCTAAAATTTCCCATCTCCAACCTCCACACAGGGAAGGCTACCCAGACCAGGGAATGAAAAATGGATTTCTTCTCCCATTCAGGGTAAATCCTTCTCTCAACACGCAATTCCTTGTCCAGGGGAAAAGTACAGTCGGAGACCGTCTCTGGCTACTTGGATTGACTTCCCTCAGAGATTCCTGTGGGGGGATTAGGACACCTACCTCATAAAATTGTAGTGAGTTTTATTGATAACGCAAGTGTAGTACCTGGACAGAGCCGCTACTAACGGTAGTAACAACTTAGTAACACTTAGGGTCTCAGCGACCTGATCACAACCTCGTTTTTCCCGCGGCCCTCCAACCGGAGTCGGTTTAGCCTACTAGAGTTGGGGCAGCGAATCGGAAACAATCAGGAACAGTTGCTATGGCGACACTTTGCTCCGCGCCCGGCTTTAAACGAATAGCATGCTGGGAATTGTAGTGCGTGGGGCTGAGTCTCGCCTCAGGGGCGGGGCTGCGTCCTGTAAGGGTACTACATTCACCTTTCCCAGCTCCACGGCCACTCTTTATCACGCCCTGTGTCTCGACCACAGAGCCTAAAGTGCAACGGCCGGTCATGGGTCCTCCTTTCCACGCCTTTCAGAGTCACAGCTGAAGGAAGGGCGGGGGAAGCAATGAGGTGCCGAGGGCGGAGACCCGAGAGACACTGTTGGAGCAGGAAGGGGCAGGGCTCCCGCCCAGGGTACGAAGGCACCGCCTCCTTGTGTCACTTCCGTAAACAAGGGGCGCTGCGCTGCCGCGGGTCTGGAGATGTGACCTGGGATCTAGCTGCAGCTGCGGCAGTGGCGTCCGAGGTTCCCGGATCTTTGCGGGTTGAGGAAAGGGACCCGGACCCTCTACTTCCTCGGGTAGGTAATGAAAGCAAAGGAAACCCCGCCACGCCCTCCTTAAGGCCCCCTTAGGTCACTGCTGGCTTTGGGATGGTGATGGGTCATCGCTTTGGAGGACTGGGAAAGGGGAATGGGGTGAAGTCCAGAGGGACTTTCCCTGGTCCTGCTTGGAGGCAGGGTCTGGCACCCAAAATTAGTTTGTAAGCCTGAACGGTTTGCGCCTTCTCTAAAACGTTCCTTGCTGCTTGGTATACAAGAAGGATTTCGGTGGTTTTGTGACACATGTTACCTTCACTAAACGAATAAATCTCAAGCCTTGGCCCCGCAGAACACCATTGCCTGAGGTCACAGTTTATTTGCGTTACTTTACTTCTTAGGTTTTCTTTTTTTTCCTCCCTTGATCGTGGGTCGCCAAATGTGTTAGCATCCTTTTTGGGAGGGGTTGCTGAGGATTGAACCCGGTCACTTTATCACAGAGCTACGTCCCCAGTCCTTTTTATTTTTCATTTTGAGATAGGATCTAGCCAGGTTGCTAAGGCTGGTCACGACCTTGTGATCCTCCAGTCTCAGCCTTCGGAGTGGCTGGAATTTACAGGCATCTGCCACCATACAAGGCTGTATTATTACCATCTTAAAATTTAAAGGCCAATGTGTTTATGTGTATCATAAATGTATGCAGACCCTTGCCTCTTTGGAGAACTGATACCCTATTGTCTCTATTCAGTTGCCTTTTATAGTTCCATTTAATTTGCATGTTGAAACAAACCCCATATGAGTGTTTTATTACTAAAAAATGCTTTCATTTCTCCCACCAGTACTGGGGATCGAACCACGAACTTTCTACCACTGAGTTAATTCCCCATTCCTTTTATTGACGGATTGATTGATTGAGACAGAGTTACCAAGGCTGGCCTGGAATTTGTGATCCTCCTGTCCCAGCTTCTTGAGTGGCTGGAATTGCAGGTTTTGGCCAAGGCATCTGGCCTAAAAATGCTTGTTAGGAGAAATACTGTTTGCCAATATTTAAATGGATTTACAGTTGGTGTCTGGAATTAGAGACTGGGCACTGGCATCTTTCCCAGAAAGCCTTTTCTTTTTTGGAGGTATCATAGCTAAACTCGTGATTGTCTAGAGTCAATCAAAACTCAGCATTTTAATTTCCAGGGCTAATGGTACTGAGTTCAGACAATAGCAAAAAAGAAAATCTATTTTCATTAAAATTCTCAAATAACTTTTAGGAGTGACAGCAGGGTTTGAATCTTTTTGAACAGTCACAGCATGATTAAATACAACACGATATTTTTTAAAAGGTCTAATGTTCCTGAGGCAATGTACAATTTGATAGGGTATATAGCCATCTGAATTTCTCATTTTTATGATAAATGAGTTAATGGAATTAAGAAAAAATTAGCCTATGCAAAAATAAAACAAATGTAGAAGGACATTTTGGGATATCTGAGTTAAGAAATAAAACTGGTTAATATGTGAAGTAATGGGACAGTATTGAGATAAATATAAAGCCTTACACATATTCCCCATGAAAGGGACATCTGTAACTTTATAGTGTTAATTTTAAAAATATGAGCAAAACCAAAGATATGATTCATGTTTCCTTAGACATTGGTAGTATATTTAAGTATTCAAAATAGGTGAGAAACAAGCTTGATTTTATAGAACTGCACTTGATCATAGAGCTAGAATCTAGCTAGAATCAGTCTTACTTCTAGGTACAAACTAATGTTTGCTTGGTAATTGAAATAAGACTTCTAGTTGTTATTTAAAATTCTGATACCCTGAAAATTATACATCTGTCTGAATCTGAGTTGTTTTTTCTAAGAATACATTTTGAAAGGGAGACCTAAAGGCCACCTAAAACTTGAGTCAGGCCGGGATATAACACGAATGACTTGTTTTATTGTTTATATATATTGTGCACCTTGTGTAATGTTTGCTTCTCAAGGGCAGGAACTTTGTCGTATTTAGTGCTGTTCCTCAATATTCATAATAGGACCTGGCTCATGGGAGAGAATCAGCAAATATTTGTAGGAAAAGTGAATTAAGAAAATGGTTAAAAAATGTATAAAGTATATCACACAAACTTAAGGGATCCTTATTCTTACTTTCTAATGACCTCTGAAATTCTTAATCCTCCTTTGAGTGGGTCTTTGAATCTCTTTCATATTGTAGCTAATGTATACAATTACTGTGTTTCTTTACTTAGGTCTTAAGAAGCTGGCCTTGGTGTAACAAGGAACTTAAAACAATGGAAGATCGGAAAGTGAAGAGGAGGAGTCCAAAATCTTTTAGTGCCCATTCTACTCAGGTTGTTAATGCCAAAAAAAATGCCATTCCAGTTAGTAAGAGCACAGGGTTTTCAAATCCAGCATCACAGTCAACTTCACAGCGACCAAAGTTAAAAAGGTGAATTCTTCTTTCACATTTTCACAGTAAAATATTGAGTCAATTCCTCCTCCCTTTTTTTTTTTTTTTTGTAGTGTGGATTGAATCCAGGGTTCAATATCCCCAGCTCCTTTTATTTCTTATTTTGAGACAGGTCTTGCTAAGTTGCTTAGGGGCTCACTAAGTTGCTGAGATTGGCCTCAAATATGTAATCCTCCTGATCCTTCTACCTCAACCTCTCCCAAGTTGCTGGGAATTCAGGTGCCCAGTTTTAGAGTCAGATTTTGAATAAAGTTATAATTGGTAGAGAAAGAAGGCTAAGAAATTTTAAGGCAAGAATTCCTTTCTTTAAATTAATTAATTCATTCTTTCTCCCCGGCCCCCTCTTGTACTGGGATTGAACTTAGGGCCTTATATATGCCAACCAAGCACTGAGATGCATCTCTAGTCCTTTTAATTTTTAAGTTTGATACAGGGTTATGTTAAATTACCCAGGCTGGTCTTGAACTTGGGATCCTCCTGCCTCAGCCTCTAGAGTAGCTGAAATTACAGGTATGCACCACCACAACTTGCCTTTCTCTAAATTCTTAATAGCAGTTTAAAAACTGATATTATTGTCATTTGTTACCTGGTAATTTTATTCCCCTATTTTCTAGAATGTAGGCTTTCTGAGGACTAAAGCTGTATTGATCATCATTGTGTGCCTGACTATATTCACAGTGGGGCTTTGCAATTTTGTAATTTCATTGTATGATTTTTGGTATTAAATTGTCCTAACATAAAGTGAGGCAATGAGACATAACCAAAAGCATTGAAGTAGGAATAATCGGTTTTGTTTTACCTTCTGTGGTTTTTTTCTTTTTTGAGAGGGTTGTTAAACAGTGAATTGATGTGAAACCGTTTCTTCAATAAAACTTCCAAATTTGAGAGGAGAAAAATATATTTATTATATTGAAACCTTACATTTTGGGGCTGGGATGTGGCTCAAGCGGTAGCGCGCTCGCCTGGCATGCGTGCGGCCCGGGTTCGATCCTCAGCACCACATACAAACAAAGATGTTGTGTCCGCCAAATACTAAAAAAAATAAATATTAAAAAATTCTCTCTCTGTCTACCTCTATCTCTCTCACTCTCTCTTAAAAAAAAAAAAAAAAAAAAAAAAGAAACCTTACATTTTATAGTGGTTTATCTCAGAATTTAATGTGGATTTCTTTAACATGCAGATTCTAGCTTGGTGCAGTGAGGCATACCTATAATCCCAGTGACTGAGGAGGCTGAGGCAGAAGGATCGAAAATTTAAGCCCAGCTTCAACAACGTAATGAGGCTCTAAGCAACTCAGCAAGACTCTGTCTCTAAATGTAAAATAAAAAGGGATAAGGAATATAGTTCAGTGGTAATGCACACCTGGTTTCAATCCCAAGTGCCCAAAAATAAAATATAGATTCTGAATCAGTCTGAGATGGGGCCTCACATGAGCATTTCCAGTAAGCTCACAGGTAAGATTGATGTTACTGGGTCATGAACAGTATTTTGGATAATGTGATTTAACACAACTTACAGAAAATGCAAACTTTACTTTGTAAAGAACTGTTAGTGTAACAACAGCCTTTGAATTCTAAATTTTTTCTTAAGAATTATTATTTTCTTTCTTTTGTCCAGTGCTTTTCCCAGGCATATATATATACTTAGATTATCCTCATTGTGGTAAGTACAGTTGTGGATAAAATGTCTTTAGTGTTATATAAACATAATTGAGACTGGATGCTGTGGCATATGCCTACAATCTCAGAAGCTCCAGAGGCTGAGGTACCAGAGGATCATAACTTCAGGGCAACTTAGCAAGACCCTGTGTCAAATTAAGAAGTAAAAAAGGGCTGGGTCTGTGGCTCAGTGATAAGTACACCTGGGCATATACCTACAATCTCAGTAGCTCCAAAGGCTGAGGTAGGAGGATCACAACTTCTGGGCAACTTAGCAAGACCCTGTGTCAAAATAAGAAATAAAAAGGGCTGGGTCTGTGGCTCAGTGATAAGCATTCCTGTGTCCAATCCCAAGTACTGAAATAAAAGAAAAAAACAGTAACACACACACACACACACACACCCCAAGAATCTGTAGTTTATATTGGGTTTTAAAGATATCACAACAATACCTTTTCCTTTTTGCCTATTTAACCCCTCCTTGCTTGTTAAGCCTTCACTCACATATCACCTTGAGGAAGCCCTCCTAGCTTACCCTGGGCTGTATGACCTGCTCTTTGCTTTTATATGGCAGTGTGCATAGATAGCACTGTCATTCAAGTAGTTGAGAGCCTGGCATATGCCAGACGTGCAATAAGTGATAATTAGTCTCAGGGTTCCTAAAAGGCCCTCCTGAGGAAACAGTATTTAAACAGATTTAAAGGATGTGTGGGAGGTCACCTGGCAAGGGTGGCAGTAAGCAGAAGATGTGAATGTAGGCAGAGGATTAGCATGTAAGAAGACAGAATGTTTCTAGAAAACTAAAGAGATTCAGGGTAGTAGTTAGAGCACAGACAGGAGAAGATAGGATTTCTTAAGGATATGGGACTTAGGAAGCAGTACAAAGCTGAAGGGTATAAATTATATGATATGATTTGATTTTTAAGAAGTGGACCTGGCTGCCTTGTGAGGCAGGAAGGGGGATCAGAGACCACACACAGAGATAAGGAGACCAGTTGGGAAGGTGCTGGAGTCATTAGGACAAGAGCTATGATGGTGGCTGGGGATGTAGCTCAGTGGTAGAGGCCTTGCCTAGACACAGGAGGCCCTAGCACCAAGGAGGGAGAGAGAGAGAAAAAAAAAAAAAAAAGAAGAAGAAGAAGGGAGGGGGGTTAAGAAGGCAGTGGCAAAGGAGAGAACTAGGAAAATTAGATAATTTATGGGTATAATCAATAGGACTTCATGATAGCATGTGGGGGCCTTATGAAGTGGAGGGGTCGAGGATTACAAGAGGTTTTTAGCACTGCATCATATGGTGACTATATATTTAAATGTCTTCCTTTGTCCTTAGACTGGGCACTTCTGGTATGTCAGCTACAGAGTAGGGACCCCATAATCATTTGTGGAATTACTGATAATTCAAGAAACAAATAGGGCAAAGTTCAGAAGGGGAAGATGTTTTACTGAAAAATGAAATAATGAAACATAAGCTAGTAAAAAAGACTAATTTTCTTTTCAATTTTTTATAGTCCAGAGAAATAGTGTATCATATAAATGTATTAATCAAACTTTTTGCCGGATATGGGGTACGTGCCAATAATCCCAGCCATTGGAGGCAGGAGAATCACAAGTTCAAGGCTAGCATCTGCAAATTAGCAAGGCCCTAAGGAACTTATTGAGACCCTGTCTCAAAATAAAAAATTAAAAAAACAAAAGGCTAGGAACGTTACACCCCTGGATTCAATCCCCAGTACCAAAAAAAAAAAAAAAAAAATCCCACAGCTTTCATATGAATAAGAAAGTGTATTCCATGCATTTGTTTGAGATGTTCACAACTTGTTCTTCCTCTCCCCTGATTGTTTTTTTCCTGGTCTATGGCTTGAAGTTACTGGTTTTATTTAGTATTGACTTTTTTCTGATTTCTTGTTCTTAAGGGAAAAATTAAGCAAAAATTAAATCTAGAATAGCCTGAAAATCTGTAACTAGAATTAATTGCATCATCTCTGCAGAGTGATGAAAGAAAAGACCAAACCTCAGAGTGGAGAAGGAAAAGGTGCTCAGCCAACTCCCATTCAGCACTCTTTCCTCACTGATGTCTCCGACGTTCAGGAAATGGAGCGAGGGCTCCTGAGTCTTCTGAATGATTTCCACTCTGGAAAACTTCAAGCATTTGGTAAGCAGTAAATATTTCTCTTTACTATTTTTTAAGATGTTTGTCATTAACATATATATTGATTTATGGAAGCGTGGACTTTCCCTCACCCATGTTTTTAATTGATTGACTTCCTTTTCCCCTTTCTTATGCCTTCTGCTTCTTCCATCTCTCCTCTTCTCCCCAACCAGTTAACCATGTTAACAGTTAGGTTACATCTTTGTATATTTTCCCCAGGTTATAATCTGCATGGATGTCAATATTTAGACACGCAGACACACGCACAGATTTTTGTTTTCATTGTTTTACATAGATGGGACCTTATGTATACTTTTCTGTACCTTTTCTTTACTCAACAATATTTGATGGAACTCTCTGCACAGCTCTAATACAGTCTCCTTTTAATTGCTACATAGTAGCAATTTAATTGCTACATAGTTATGAATATGCTCTACTTTATTTCAATCATTTTCCTATTGTTCACATCTCTGAGCCACTAAATGCAAAGGTATAGTGAACCTTTTTTTTTTTTTTTTTTTTTGTGGCACTAAGGATTGAACACATGGGCATTTTACCACTGAGCTACATTCTCAGCCCTTTTTATTTATTTTTATTTTTTAAGTAATTTTTTTAGTTGTAGATGGACACAATATCTTTATTTTTACTTATTTATTTTTATGTGATGCAGAGGATCGATCCCAGTGCCTCACATATACTAGGCAAATAAATGCTCTACCACTGAGCCACAACCCCAGCCCCTTATTTTTTTTATTTTGAGATAGGGTCTCACTAAGTTTCCCTGGCTAACCTTGAACTTGGGTTCCTCCTACCTCAACCTTCTAAGTAACTGGGGTTACAGATGTGCTCCACTATGCTTGGCTTCCACAGTGAAGATTCTTAGATTAATTCTTATTCTGGTACTTTTATTTCTTTGCAAAGAATTACCATGAGTGGAATTATTGGGTCACAGCATATATGTAATTTTAATTTTAATTGAAGTGTCCAGATTGCTTTCCAAAAAAGAAAAAAAAAAAAAAAAAACCCTTACATTTCTCATTTCTAGCAGCAGTTTACAAAAGAGTTCCATCAGATATTGTTGAATAAAGAAAAGGTACAGAAAAAAAGGGTTTTTTCCCAAATTCCCATCAAGAACAGTTTTGTATAGTGTCTTTAATAGTATTGTGTCTTAATTTTTGCTACTCTGTTGGCATCGATTAAGATTCTTTAAATTTATTTATTTATTTTAAGCTTTTAGTACTGACAATTAAACCCATGGATGCTGAGTTACATCTCCAGTACCCCAACTCTCTCTGTACATATATATGTAGATATGTAGATATAGAGATAGGCAGACAGGTATTTGAGACAGGGTTTGACTAAGTTGCTGAGGCTGGCCTCAAACTTGTAGCCCTCCTGCTTTAGCCTTCTGAGTTACCAGTATTTCAACTTGGTGTCACTGTGTTGAGCTAACAGTATTAAAATTTCTACTGAATTTGAGTATTTTTGTGTATTTGGTAAGCAGTTGGATTGCTCTTTTTAGTATTTCATTCAGTTTTGAATTTGGTTATTTATCCTGTTGTTGTCAATTGCCAAGAGCAATTTAACTTTGTAAAAGTTTTAATTTTTTGCATACTCAACTATGTCTATCTTTTTTTTTTATTGTTTCTGGATTTGTAGTCTTTTATATAGTATGTTGAAAAGAATACATTAAAAGCACATTACTTTTAGCACTACCTCATCCCGGTATGGTGGTATCTGAAGAATTCTTTGACTTTCCTCTCTCCTTCTTTCTTCCTTCCCATCCTTGAGATGTTCCCTTTAGATCACTTTTACTTCTTTCCTACCTCCCTACACAATTCTTGCTATGTAGGTAACTTTGTTTGAACTGAAGTCCTTTCTTATGTGTCTGGTACTCTACTGCTATCTGTAAGTGTCACCATGAGATTTATTTGCCAGTTGGATTCTTTCTTAGTACGTAATAATTTTTTTCTGCATTGATACTTAAAAGACCTTTTTTAATCTTTAAAGTTTAGGCATTTATCAACATGTGCTTAGGTCTTTGTCTTTTCTCACCAGCTGCCTGGGATTCAGTAAGGCTTTCTTACTTGCTGACTCATCTTTCATCTTGCAGAATGCTTTTTCTATTGTTTATTGTTTCTCCTCCATCTATTACTTTTTAGTCTTCTGGTGCTTCTGTTGCTTTTAGGTTACCTTCATCCATTTTCTGACTCACCCATCTTTCCCCTTGTGGCTTCAATTGCTTTATATTTTTATTCTTACTATATATATATTTTTTTCTCTCTCTCTCTCCCCCACACACCCCTTATATCACACACACACACACACACACACACACATATCTTGAGGTATTTGTTCTTCCAGGTTACTAATAGTTAAAATAGAAGACATTTACTGTGAATAAAGGATGATTTTGAAAGAACTGTAACTAATTTTAAATATTAGTAGTCCTTAACATACTATAGTATAGTTAATGAATTAAGTTATAAAGTTCACTACAGGAAACTATAGTATAATCTACATTAATTCATATTGACTCAAGATATGTATTTTAACTTTAGCTGAACTATGCCTGTTTAGTACATTCAGGAAAAATAGAAAGCTCTTTTTTTTTTTTTTTTTTTTTATTATAGTATCATGAGTTTGCAGTGGCTGTACTTAAACTGGGTAAGGATGTGTACTATGTAATATATACATAAATTTGTTCTTGTGGGCAGATGATGTCACTCTAGTCAGTAAATCATGTAAGATCTATCCTTTACCAAGCAAGTTGCCTTGCACTATTGTGTATATGATCAAAAACATTGCATTATAGCCGGGCATGGTGGTGCATGCCTATAATCCCAGTGGCTCAGCAGGCTGAGGCAGGAGGACTGCAAATTCAAAGCCAGCCTCAGCAAAAGCAAGGCACTAAGCAACTCAGTGAGACCCCTATCTCTAAATAAAATACAAAATTGGGCTGGAGATGTGGCTCAGTGGTCAAGTACCCCTGAGTTCAATCCCCAGTACCCACCCCGCCAAAAAAAATTACATTATGTTCTTCTTGCTTCATAACATTCTTCATGCTTCATAAATATTTTCTAAAGGAAGAATATATAATTGCTTGGAAAAAATGATTCATGGTTGAAGTTCTGGTAGAAATCTTAATTTCTCTCATAAAATGTTGTGTCAGTCAATTCAAATGTTAGTTGTCAAATTGAACTTAATTAGACGGTGCTGTTGCTTCTATATATTATATTGCTATTGAATAAAAATATTTTTATTACTTAAGGAAAGATTTTGCTTTTTTAAAAAAAAAATACATATTTTCTTTTAGTGAACAAGGTCAATTATTAGGTTGGTTATTGTTTTCCTGATAAAAAATTTGATTTGTGCCAGGCATGGTGCGCATGCCTGTAATCCCAGCAACTCAGGAAGCTGAGACAAGTTCAAGGACAGCCTTGACAACTTAGTGAGATGCTGTCTCAAAATAAAAAATGAAAAGGGCTGGGGATGAAGCTCAGTGGTAGAGTGCCCCAGGGTTCAAGTTCAATCCCCAGTATGGTGTTTTTGATTTGTAATTATACATAGAAAATATGCAAATAATTTACAAAAGAAAAAACATGGATTTCTTTTAGAGCACCCAGAGTTTATATGTTTTTCCTCAAGGCTATTAGTTTTAACATTAATCTTTATTAATGTTCTGGAATGTTCCCCAGGAAATGAATGTTCCATAGAACAGATGGAACATGTTCGGGGAATGCAAGAGAAATTAGCTCGCTTGAATTTGGAGCTCTATGGGGAGTTAGAGGAACTTCCTGAGGATAAGAGAAAAACAGCCAGTGATTCCAATCTGGACAGGCTTCTGTCTGATGTAAGTATAGTTATTTTTCTCTATTCTTTAAAAAAAAATATGGCAATAAATTTCACTGTACAAAACTCACCTTTTAAACACTTTAAAGTGTACAATTTACTGGTTTTTAGTATATTCATAGTGTTGTGCAGATGTAATCACTGTCTTAATTTCAGAACATGTTAATTACCCCCAAAAGAAGCCTGTACCTTTCAATTCCCCCGCTCTCCCCATCTTTTAGAAACCCCCAGTCTACTTTCTGCCTTTATGGATTTGCCTACTGTGGAATTTTATATAAATGGAATTATACAAAATATGTGCCTTAAGGGTATTGTTTGACTTAGTATTTTCAGGTTTTATCCATATTGTACTTTACTTTTTTAAAAAGTACGTTTTCCAAAGAAATGTATCCTAAGGAAATAATTATACTTATGTCTAAACATGTATTTTCAGAAAACTGGCAAATATAAAAAGGAAATATTTGCTTATGCACATATTATATATGCACAGATATTACATGTAAAAATGTTGTATACATATATATGTACAGATCTTTAGAGATGATAGTAGTCAAAGAACTTTACCTCAGGCTGGGGTTGTGGCTCAGTAGTAGAGCGCTTGCCTAGCATATGTGAGGAACTGGGTTCAATCCTCAGCACTGCACATAAATAAAGGTCCATTAATAACTAAAAAAATATTTTAAAAAAAGAACTTTACCTAAAATGATTAATATTCTTTGTGTTATTTTTACTTAGGTGGTGGTTACTTATTTTTAAATACAGAACTGTGTTGGGTGTCTATGGTAATTTAGTACATTGCCATGTATATGAGTTTGGTAGGCTGCCATAACCAAGTACCACAGACAGGGTGGCTTAAGCAACAGGAATTTATTTTCTCACAGTTCTGGAGGCTGAAAGTTGGAGTTCAAGGGGTTGACAAGGTTGGTTTCTTCAGAAGTCTTTGTCCTTGGTTTCTAGATAGTGACCTTCGTATTCACATGGCATTCTACCTCTGTGCACACCTGTCAAAATTCCCTCTCCTTTTTAAGGGCACCTGTAACATTGGATTAGGGCCCACTCTAAGTACCTCATTTTGACTTAATTACCTCTTAAAGGCCTGGTCTCCAAGTATACTCATTCTGAAATATTATGGGTGAACACTAAAACATGAATTTTGGGAGTAGTCATTTTTCAGCCCCAATATCTTGTAAGATTGTTGGACTGAGAATTGTTAGTTCAGTTGTCTCTTTAAATGCTTTTCGAGACAAACATAAATAAAACAAATTCAACATACTTTAGTTTTAAATTTCATATTTACTAATGATAAGAAGGGTCTACTGTTGCTTTTCTCTGTCATTTGAATAAGCAAATTCAAGGGAAACTGTATGCCCATACTTTTAAAATTTCAAGCCTCTACTCTTTTTATTTTTCAGGTTTTTTGTATTCAGTCTTGCAAGCATTCTTTTTACCAGTTTGTTTTGTTTTATTCCTCTTAGCAAATATAGGTTAGTTTGCTATGCACTGTAGGAAAGTAACTATGATATGGTAAAAAGAACACTGAATTTGAAGCCAGAAAAAACCTTTGTTTAGTTCAAGGCTTATATTTAGATTATACTGTGTAACACTGAACAATTTTAACATTTTTTGTAATTCAAATTTTTCCTTCTGTAAAGTTAGGTGTACTATGATTTGAATGTTTGTGTCTTCCCAGAAATTATATGTTGAAATTCTCAACCCAAAGGTTATGGTAGTGGGAGGTGGCCTTTGGGAGTAAAAAGGTCAAGAATGGAATTAGTGCCCATTCAAAGAGGCATGAGGGAGACCCCTACCCCTTCTACCTGTGAGTACACAATGAGAGGTTGCCATATTGGAACCAGGAAGTGGGAGGTCACCAGACACCAAATCTGCTTATGGTAATTTTTTTTTTTTTTTTTTTTTGCTACTGGGGATTGAACCCAGGGACACTTTACCACTGAGTTACATCCCCAGTGTTGTAATCCTCCTGTGATCCTTGTGATCCTCCTTTCTCAGCCTCCCAGTCACTGTGATTACAGTCTAGACCACCATATTTGGCAGTTTATGTTATTTTGTTATAGCAATCCAAACAAAGACAAAAAGTGATAAATTATACTTTATACTTTAAAACTGAATGACATAAAATAGTTTTGTAATTCATGAAGGTTTTAAAGATAGTGTAATTAAAATGGCAACTTTTTCTTTTAAAAGTTATTATTAGAAGTTATTATAATTATGGATGGGTTTGGGAATACTTACAAAACTCCAGTTTTTAGCCTTTGATTTCAGTTTCTTCTCATATTATGTTGCATAAATGATAAAGCTACCTTTTTTGTACTTGACCACTAAGCCACATCCCCAGCCCTATTTTGTATTTTATTTACAGTCAGGATCTCACTGAGTTGCTTAGCACCTTGCCATTGCTCAGTCTGGCTTTGAACTCATGATCCTCCTGTTTCAGCCTCCTGACTTGTTGGGATTATAGACATGTTGTGCCACTGCGCCCAGCTAAAGCTACTTTTTAATTAATTTGCAAAAGGGAATTTCCCATATTGGAAATTTTTTGAATGTTTTTCTTAAGAAATATTAAATGAAAAAAATCCTTAAAAATATAGAGGTAACAATGACTTATATTTATAATTACTTATATTTATCTTATAAAAATTTTGTTTCTTTGTTTTACAGTTGGAAGAATTGAATTCTTCTATGTATCCTTTGCCTACTAGCAACAATGAAAAGCCTATAGTTTATAATTATAAAATTTATAATTTTGTAATTTGTAATCCCTATCACATTTTAGAAAAAGGTATTATTTAAGTATAGTGAACAAAAATACAAAATATTTACCGGGTCCACCTCTCTTCCCCTTTGGTTTCCAAATGGAATTTCCTCAATGTTTTGTGTGCTGAAATTTTGTTTCTGCTTTATTCTGCATTGTTTTATATTGTTTTTGAACTCTTTAAAAACTAAGTTAATTATTTTTTAAGTCATGATAATTAAGGATTAGGCTAGTTGCCATAGAAATTATTTGAATATTAGATTCTGAGGTGAACTGGCTATTGGATCTAGAGAAAATATACTATACTTAATAACATTACCTAGAATATTTTAAATATATAAAATTGAAAATTAGGTATCATCAAATTACAGCCTTGAGGGATGTGTATGTAGCTTATGAACCAACATTTTCACAATTAAGTGTGCTAAGCATAATATAGGAATAGCTCAAAGGAAAACACAATGCTTACCAATATTCAGGATTTAATTTTTCAATCTAGAAAAATTATTTCAGGAACTTTTCAAAATGTATTTTTGAACATAATGGTAGGAACATTAGAGTAATAAGAAATGATGCCAGTTACAGAATATATACAGAATATTTAATTTGAGAAGTAAAAAATCCCCTTTAAACCAGATAATGAGATAGAAAGGATACTGGCTATTCATCTAGAGATTTTATCATTTGATAGTTAGTTCCATATTTTGATGATATAACATTGGGCAAGTTGTTTAACATCTCAGAGATCTCTGTAATATGTGAACGTATATGTGAAAATTTCCAAACTATATGGAATATATATGTATGTAAATTACTATTTCTATAACATTATATACTGTTATTAATTACTCAGTTGTGTAGTAACAACAATTAAGAAATAAGGAAGTATATACAAATCCAGTAATAACAATTAACATCTAGCCTTTATAAATACTTACTATTTGCTAAGTATTGTGTGAAGGATTTTACACATATTACTTCATTTGGTCTTACCTTTGGAAGCAGGTTGTTTTAGTCAGCTTTCTCACTGCTGTGACCAAAAGACTTGACTAGAACAACATAGAGGAGCGAAAGTTTATATAGGGGCTCACGGTTTCAGAGGTCTCATTCCATAAACAGCAGACTCCATTCCTCAGGGATCAAGGTGAGGCTGAATGTCACGGAAGAAGAATGTGGCAGAGGGAAGCAGCTCACATGATGATCAGGAAGCAGAGAGAGAGGTCTCCACTTGCCAGATACAAATATATACCACAAAGCCATACCCCAATTCCCGCCTCCTCCAGCCACACTGTATCACTTCAGTTATCACTCAGTTAATTCATGTCAGGGGATTAATTCACTGATTGGATTAAGACTCTCACACCCAGTCATTTCTGTCTCACACATAAGCTTTTGGGGGACACCTCACAGCCAAACCATAACACAGGTGTTGTTATTTATATTCTCCATTCTGCAGATGAGGAAAATAAATTTTTGAGAAGCTACATCAACCATGGGGAGAGATTAATAGATTAATATAAGATGTTATTATCAAGAAAGACTTTAAGAAAAGGGGGTAAGATTTGAATTAAATAAGGGACTTTGCTTAGAAGTCATTCCTTATTCTTTTTTTTCATTGTATTCCTTTTATGCTTTATGTTCTTTCTATGCCCAAGACACCCAACTATTATCTCCTATCCTCTTATCTGAGTTTTTGTTAAACATGTAGGCTTACTTGTTTTATCACTTTCCTTGATTCAAACTTTGGTGGGATTTGTCCACCACAAACAAGGCAGCCTGGGATAATACAAAAGTATAGGTTTTGGAGTACTTGGTTTTAAATCTTGGCAAATGGCATATAACCTTGAACAAAGTGCGACAACCCTGGTTTCCTCATATATGGTAAATGTTCTAGTGGTAATTAATCTTTCCCCTCCTAATTGCCTTCTTTGTCATCACTGTATCTGTTGTTCCAGTCTCCATGAATATTTCAAAATCCCTTCTCTAACCATAGCTGACATTATTAATCAGTCATGGCACTTTCTGCCTATTGAGCTTGGACATGGACATGAAATCTACTTGCCATCTCTTAACTGCAACTGTCAGGTATCATCAGTCTGCTTTCATTCTTTCTTCATTCTCTGTATGATAACACAGGTCACCTAATTTATTTATTTATTGCCTGTTTTCATAACTTATGAATTTTCCGTTCCTACTCTAGAGCTTGACTGTTCGATATAGTAGCTACTAGTCACATGGCTATTGAACACATGAAATGTAGCTGAATTGCAGTGTGTTATGAGTGTAATAGACACATCTGATTTCAAAGATTTGTCATAAAAGAATGGAAAATATTTCAATTTGTGTAATAATTACATATTGAAATGATTTTTTAAACATATATTAAGGTAAAATATACATTATTACAATCAAGTTCATTCTTTTTTCCTTTTAATATGACAGCTAGAAAATTTAAAATTTTTTTCTGTTTTGTTTTTGTTTGGTTTTGGTTTTGGTGGTAGGAATTGAACCCAGGGGTGCTTAACCTCTGAGCTACATTCCCAGCCCTTAGTTATTTTTTTAAATTATGAGACAGGGTCTTGCTAAATTGGGGAGACTGGCCTCAAACTTATGATCCTCCTCACTCAGTTTCCTGAGTCCCTGGGATTACAGGCATGAGCTACGGTGCCCTGCTTGCAGTATAATTTTATTGAATAATATTGTTCTAGACTTCAGATAGCACTATTAATAAATTAATCTTCCTGAATCATTACTTTCTTGTCAATTTTTAAAACCATGTCCAACTTTTTAAAGACTCTCAGTAATCTAGTCACAGCCTATACATCACGTTTTTCATCCCCATGAAGCTGGTTCTTTGAATGTCTTAATACCATATTCATTCATTCTCTCTGCATGCCTTTGTTAAGGTTGTACTTCCTGCCTGGAGTTGCTCTGGCTTCCTTCTCCTCCTTATCAAATTACACTGAAGCCTGCGGTTTCCATAAAGTGTTTTGTATGTAGCTTAACTGAACGTTCTTCCTTATTTTATTGTCTGTTTTTTTTTTTTTTTTGTTTTTGTTTTTTTATGTTAAGGCTCATCCTTCCCGCTGAACTAGAATGCCTTTATGGCTGTGCTTACATCTATCCATTTTGCAACCATTCATGTATTGCTAGCATTGTCCTCAGTGTATCCTTATTATTGTTTAAATTAGGTCTTAGAAAATAGGTAACAAGTAGTATAGGAGAAAGGAAAATAAGAGGTGATGATGAGAAAGGAAAAGAATAATATATGCAGGAAATAGTATATGCAGATTTCCTGCATATATTATTCTTTTTCAAAGAATGATTAAGGGGATTATAGAATATATTTTAGAGACATGATTATCTTAATTTGGACTCTTACAAAGAAGTTGTTTTCCTAAAGATGATAAAGAGATGTCTTCTCAAATATTTATTTTAATCCAGTAAGTCATCATATTTGACTCTAATTATCTCCTAAATCATAAAAATGATTATTGCTGCATTAAAAAATAATGCTCTGTTGGAATCTGGAACATCATCTTTAGTAGTGATTGACTAAGCATAGACAGAGTATAATTCCTGCATTTAAAAATTGTCTTTCCACATCCAAGGATCCCAATAGCAACATAGCAGCTTTTCCTTAAATATATTTCTTTTCTTTCCTTCTTTTCAAATACTTAGCTCCTGAATATAATTTCCTGAAATTTAAAAGAAGTACATACTATAGAATGAAAATCTTCTTAACTGATGAATTCAGACAAAAACTCCATTTGGCGGATGCACAAGATGTTCCAAATACTTCTACCAGCTAAACTGAAATGCACTTTGCCTTCTTGGGATTTGCAGAGAAGCGGCATTCTTTAATTTTACAGCTGAATCCAGTAGCGGCATTCTTTAATTTTACAGCTGAATCCAGAATCATCTTCCACAATAGGAATTCAAGTAATTAAAGTGCAAGTGCAATGATTGTATCCACATACTGCTTTTAGTAAATGTGCTCACTGTAATTCACTGTAACTGGAGATCTAGGCCTTGATGAAGGCTTAATCAGAAAATGCAATGCAAAGGTTGTACTCCTGTGCTTGATACTGTTGCCTTATGGGGTTATACTTGAAATGCATTTGTGCTAAATGTTCTTGATAGGGCTAAGGGATTTATCCTTCCTGAGCTCATCAAACTTATTCCAGTATTGATCGTAAGTTGATGGTGCACAGGCCTCTTGTGGCAGCCCAGCTTCGTTTACACTAGACAATCAGTACACACGCAGGTGTGTTTTTCAATGGCCAGTGACAAAAATGTTAAATAAGTATTTGTGAGATTTGCTATTTTTAATAAAATGATTCTTTTAAAAATGAGTCTGTTGTCTGTTTGGAAGATTGGGTAGTCTTTCAATCTATAAATATGAGGGTTCAATCCTCAAAAGTAAACTGTGTTTATAAAATGTGAGGTTCTATAACTTTCTTTGTAAATTTTGTGCCTTTTACATATTTATATACTATGTAATAAAAGAGTATGGGCTTTAAAGTTACTTAGACCATGGTTTGGATCCCCATTCTGCCCCTTAGTTTGTGCACATGTACATTTACTCAGGTTGAGTTTAATTTTTGTTTTAGATTTAGAAAATGAGGTTAGTACCCAACTGATAGTGGTTGCATAAGGTGTAATTGAAGATGTGCATAAAAGATGCTTAGCATAGTAGCTGATATCTGTAAAGTGCAGCAAACATTAGCTTCATTGTCTTTTTTTTTTTTTTTTCCTTTTGTTACCAGGATTGAACCCAGGGGCACTTAACCACTGATCCATATTCCCAGGCCTTTCTTTCTTTCTTTCTTTTTTTAAATTTGAGACAGGGTCTTGCTAAGTTGCTGAGGCTGGCTTTGAACTGTGATCCTCTTGCATCAGCCTCCCAAGCTGCTGGGATTGTACATTTACACCACTGCATCCAGCTCACTATCTTTTAATAGCAACTTTATTGGAATAATTCATATGTCATAAAACTTACCCTTTTAAAAAAGTATGCAGCTCAGCAGTGGCATATGCCTGTTATCCCAGCAATATGCAGCTCAGCTGGGAGCAGTGGCATATGCCTGTTATCCCAGCAACAGGAGGCTGAGCAGAAGGATCCCACATTTGAGGCCAACCTTAGCAACTTAGCAAGACCTTGTCTCAGAATAAAAAATAAAAAGGGCTAGGGATGTAGCTCACTGATAGAGTGCCCCTGAGTTCAATTCCATGTGTTTAGTACCATGTGCAAATGCGCACACACACACACATACACACAAACCAAATATATATATATTTAAATTCATATATATATATATGATAAATATACAATTCTACACATCTACTAAAACCACTGAATTGTATACATATTCTATGAATTTTATTATATATCTTACTTATATAATTATTTTTATATATATATAAATAATTCAGTGGGTGCATAGAGTTATGTACCCATTACCATCATCTAATTCTCTTTTTTTTCCTTGCTATGTTGGAGGTTAAACTGGCATATGTTAGCAAACACTCTACCACTGATACATCCCTAGCCCCAAGACCTAATTCTAGAACATTTCATCACCTCAAATATAATCCTATTAGCAGTCACTTGTCAACCCCTAAACACTTAAGATCATGGCAACCATTAATTTACTCTCAGTCTCTACATTTTCCTTTCTAAACATTTTATATAAAAGGAATCATACAGTATGTAGTCTCTTGTTGCTGGCTGCTTTCACGTAGCATGCTTTCAAGGTTTTAAGGTTCATCCAGGTTGGTAAATTTCTTTTGATGGCTGAGGTATTCTATTATGTATATATACCACATTTTGTTTATTCATAGCTCAGTTACCTCTATATTGTAAAAGATGCTCATTTTTAGTTTTTATTTTGAGACAAGATCTTGCTAGGTTGCTGAGGCTGGCCTCAAAACTGTGAGTCTCCCAATTCACTGGGAGTATACCATTGCCCAACTGATTTTAGTAATTTTTGACAGTCTAAATTCAAAGAATTTTGATTCACTTTTAATTTTTTTTTTTTTTTTCAGCAGGGTACTCAGGTTTGAAGCCAGGGCCCCAAGCATGCTAGGCAATTGTTCTACCACAGAGCTATACCCTTAGACCTCCACCTAGCTTTTTTGAGACACCTAACTACACCAGTTCCTCAGGCTGACCTTGAACATATGTTCCTATTATATCAGCCTCCCCAGTAACTGGTATTAGAGGTGTGTGGCAGCACACCCAGTTATAATTGGTCTTTTTAATATCCCTTTAAAAACAGAAAGTCTCAGGGAGGCCTGTAGTATTCAGATAGTTTTCTAACCAGTTTTCTGTACTTAATGTATCATGAACATCTTTTCACAGAGGTAAATAATTATTACAAAAGAAAAAAAAATTTAAGGTTTCACAGTTAATACTTAAAGCTATTTTGACCAGAACCATTGGAAACTAAGATAATTATTGTGGGAGTTGGGCTTTTTTTGTTTGTTTTTATTTGCGTGTGCGGTGGTGGTATTTGTCTTACAATTTTTTTTTTTTTTTTTTTTACTTCTGTACAACTAAAACTGGCAATAAGAATTAAAATTTTCTGAGGACCACCAGGCCTTAAAATTGATAGCTCATGTGAGACCAGGCAAGCGCTGGTTCAGTAATCAAGTCCCTTCAGGGACGTGCAGTGACCGCGGGATCCCACCGAAAAGTTTTCCCACCGCAGGCACCTTCGAGGCTGGAGAAGGAGCCTGGGGACTCAAGCCTGGCAGGACTGTCGCGGAGCGCGGCTTCAGGGTCCTCCAGTCCAAGGCTGGCGACCGAACACAGTGCTGGGCGGGGCCGCAGGCCCCGGAGGGGCGGGGTGGCGGGTCCGTGTTGTTGTCCCCTTGGAGATGGGGCTGTCCCACCAGTCTCCTGGGGCTGCGGGCTGCAGAGCTGGCTCTCGCTGTTCACTGCACGGTCTCAAGAGGAGACAGCCGCCACCGTGCTGGGCCTCTCTGCCACTTCCCCGAGGTAAAGCCCTGGGCCTCTTGGCCGCACTCTTTGCTCCGGGCCTCTCAGGGCACTAAGTTGGGGACGCCTTAGTTTCCCCTTGCAGCGCGGGAAAGACCCTGCGCAGGGCGGTGGCAGGGCGGTGGCGGAGCGCTGCGCCCTCCCAGGACGGCTTTGCACACACTTCGCAGGTCAGATTTGAGTTGGGCGCTGGCGAGCAAAGGCTAACCTCCTCCAGGGCACTCGCGGAAATGAAGTAAAAAGTTCTTGAGCACTTTGGAAAACACTGATTTTCATAGGACTCCAAAATGGCACTCCAGCTCCCTTCCTCCTGGGGCCTATTCTCACCCTTTTTTCCTACTTTGGGGTCCCAAAATGTGGAGAAGCCGGTGGAGGCACAGTGATGGGGAAATGCACAGAATCTACAGCGAATACAGTTTGTGGTTACAACAACTCTAAGTGTTGATATGATAAAGCTTGATGAATAGGACAAATTAAGCAGGGTACTGCTAAATATATCTTTTAAAAAATACTAAAGTGCTCATTAATAGATGTTACCACAGTTATCAGAACAGAACATCCTGACATCTGTAGTGAAGTTCAGTGCAATGAATTTCTGCGTTGTGAAGCCCATTCAATTCATTCAGGTGGTTTAATTGCATTCAAGTCTTTTCTGCAGGAACTTTTGTGCTCCTGGGAACTTCAAAAATGTTTTAAAAACAATAATTTCATTGACAAAGTAGAAGTCAGAGTCTTGAAAGTTCTAGAGCAAGAATATTACTTTTCCTGAATGAGTTTAAATCATGCAGTTACTTCTTGTTTGTTACAGTTTTCATTTTATAGCTTTAAACTTACAAATCAATGAGCCCATCCAGCATTCAAGAATACCAGCACAAATATGGCATTTCCTATCACCATTAATGCTATTGATGTCCAGATTTTCTCTAAACATACCATCACTTCCACTGTTTACTATTTACTTGTGTAATTAGTAAAAACATACTGATTTATGTTCAAAATAGGCCATGTTTTTACATGCTCTGAACGTAGGATATCTAACTTAACTGGAGCTGACTTTCACTTTTGTTTTTCACTGATTACATTCACCTTTCTAGTACTACTTTTTTTTGGTACAGGGGATTGAACTCAGGGGCACACAACCACTGAGCCACATCCCCAGCCCTATTTTGTATTTTATTTAGAGACAGGGTCTCACTAAGTTGTTTAATACCTCGCTTTTTGCTGAGGCAGGCTTTGAATTCCCCATCCTCCAGCCTCAGCCTCCTGAGCCACTGGGATTACAGGCTTGTGCCACCATGCCAGGAAGAAGGCATATTTTTAAGGAATTAAATTTTCGGTAATAAATGAATCATTGCACAACTTGCATGTGGGAATTGCAGAAGTAGGTAAATGTAAGTAACTCTGAACCAAGGAACACAGTTTTGTTATTAATTCTCTAAGCCACTTTGTCTACCATAATGGAGCAAGACCATCCTAATTTGCATTTCTCCAGCTGTGTAACTAATCACACATGAAAACACAGTTCCTGACAACAGGGTTTTTCCCAGTGGTGGTTTAGCTCTTTGCATGGACTTATTGCCCAGCCATCTCATCCTTTACTCTGGCTTTGGTTGTTCTGAGAGAAAAAAGCAATCTTTTTTTTTTTTTTTTTTTGGGGGGGGGGTTGTTCTCTACTCCCATACATTTGCTCAATGCAACACATCGTCTCTGTTCAACACAATGAATGATTTCTCCCCACCAATATCAGGTTCTCCAATGGCCCCCAAAGTCCAGTGTTTTGTGCTCAATTCCAACACTGTCTGTTTGGAGCTATCATCAGATCCCACAGGTTGAAGACCCAGCCCCATAAGACATGGTCAGCTTTCCATCACTATAACAGATACAAATCAAACTATAAAGGGAAATAGTTTATTTTGGGGCCACAATTTTGGAGGCTCTAGTCCATGAACAGTTGGGCCTTTTGCAAGGTAACACATCCTGACGGGAGTACAAGGTGGAGTAAAACTGCTCACCTCATGGCAGGGCAGCAAAAAAGAGAAAGAGGAAGAGGAGGGGGTTGGGGTCCCACAATCCTCTTTGAGGGAGTGTTCCCAGTGACCTAAAGACCTCCCACTAGGCCCTGTCCCAGAAAGTTCCACCATCTTTAAGCACCACCAGTAGAATGGCTCTGGGTACCAAGCCTTTGACAGAGGGGCTTTGTGGGCTTTTGACACATCAAGACTCAAACTATAGCAGATGCCAATCACAGGTGCCAGGTTGAAACCTGGGCTTCTAACTGACCCGGCTATATCAGGTTCCTGTGACCTCCTTCTCAGGTTTGATTAATTTGCTAGAAGCAGCTCACAGCAGTCTGGGAAATATCTTATGTACATTGACTTGTTTAAAGGATATTACCAAGGACACTGATGAATAGCCAGATGAAAGAGATGCATAGAGAAAGGTGTGTGGGAAAACATGCCACCCTCCAGACTCTTCCATGTGTTCAGCAATCCAAAGTCCCCCTCTGTTTTTTTATGGAAGATTTATTATGTAGGCCTGATAGATTACATCATTGGCAATGGATGACTGATGCAAACTTCATCCCCTCTTCCTTTCCTGGGTATCAGGGGGTGGAATTAAAAGTTCAACCCTCTAATCACATGGTTGGTTGTTCTGACAATGAGCCATATCTTGAGGGCTGTTCAGAAGCCCACCAATAATCAATTTATTAGAACAAAAGATGCTCCTATCACCCAGGAAATCACAAGAGATTTAGGAACTCTTTGTCAGGAACATAGCACAATCCAAATATTAGGACAAAAGATTCTCCCAACACCCTACCCATAAGAGTTTTAGGAGCTCTGTGTTGGGAATCCAGAACAAGGACCATATATATATTTATTTCTCATTATTTCATAATATTCCAGGTTGTCACACAACAGGCCTCTCCACCACCCTGAAGTGCTAACATCAACTGCCAAGTTTCTCATCAATATACCAGTTCTTAAGGATAGTCAGCCACAAAATAGAAATTGTATTTACAAATAAATCCATATCCAATTCAAATTATAGTAACACTCCAGGGAAAATCCAGTATAATTTTAAAATTTGGTAGTCAATTACTACCTATGAGACCCTGGATGGTTTTACTCTTCTGTAAATTCCAGGGTGGGTGTGAGGATTCAAAGAGCTAAGTGTATAGGGAAGAGGCTTACTAACAGTGCCAGTCGGACTAGCCTCTCTGGCAAGAATTAAGATGCGAAATTCAGTGTTTATTATACTCTCTTCCCCATTTTTATTTTATTACTCAGTTTATTTTATTACTATGTTTATTGGATCCCATTACAAATGAGAACAGCTACAGATTGGCGTTTCCTATTTTATTCCCTTCTTGCAACAAACTTTAGGAACATTTAGGGCTCTTTTTTTTTTTTAACAGATAGAGATAACAGAGTTACAGTTCAAAGCTGGAAACAGCTGCTAAGTGAGACAGTGAGATGGCACCCAGGACCATTTCCAGTAGTGAGGTACCGCTTTGCATAGGAAAAAGATCATTCTTAAGTGATAACGGAAAAAACTTCATGGTAGAGTATTTTGGCTTTTGGAAAAAGGACACATAAAAAAGATGAAAAGTGAATGAGAATATGATTTTGTATGTACACTTAGGTTTTGAGTCTCTCTTGGTATTAGAAGGTATTGGCAGTAGGACATGGTGGAGCATACCTGTAATCCCAGAGGTTTAGGAGGCTGAGGCAGGAGGATCTCGGGTATGAAGCCAGGCTCAGAAACTTCACAAGGCTGTAAGCAATCTAGAGAAGGGGCGGGGCTGAGGATGTGGCTCAGCTCACTGGCTAAACACCCTTGGATTCAATCCCTAATACCCCCCCCCCCCGCAAAAGAGAGAGAGAGAGAGAGAGAGAGGTATTGGCAACTTATTCGTGACTGCCATGTTGTAAACATAATTCTCAATAATGTTGTGAACTATGCTCCAGAATAAATTCTCATCTCAAATGAACACCTTAAAGTACTTCCCCTTTTTCTACTTTGCAGATGCCATGAAAGAATAACCTGTCGGATCTATATTCTAATTCAATTCTTAGCACATTTTACCATATAGCTAATTTAGCATAATAATGGAAATTATTCATAGGTTCACACAAGTTGGTAAATTTTCACAGTTGTCAAATCCTAATAATCAGTGAAGGAATGTTTTCTTATTAGTCACATGATTTTTAGTTCTTGAATTTGGAAAATTGATAGATGCACATTTTAGTCCTTTTTTTCTGCTACAACAAAATAACTGAGGCTGAGTAAGTTATAAAGAACAGAAATTTCTTTTTATCAGTTTTGGGGGTTGGGAAGTTCAAGATCAAAGTGTCTGCCATCTGAGTTGGCACTTGCTGCATTCTCTGGAGGGGAGGAATCTTCTGTTTTCACATGATGAGATACAGATGGGCAAGCAAATTGAATGCTATGTGAAGCCTCTTTCATAAGGGCTTTAATCCCATTCACAAATGGAGGGGAGCCCTTGTGAACTACTCATTTTAGTTGAGATATGAGGCGTCCCCCCAAAGCTGATGTTTAAGACAGTACAAGAAAGGTTAGAGGTGAAATATTTGTGTTATGAGAACTTTAACCTAATCAGTACATTAATCCACTGATATGGATTAACTGGGGATAAGTGTAGGCAGGTAGGGAAGTGGGTCACTAGGATCATGCTTGTGGGGGTTTATATTTTGTTCTTGGTGAGCAGAGCTCTCTTTGCTTCCTAATTGCCATATCCTGAGCTGCTTTCCTCTACCATGCATTGCTGCCACGATGTTCTCACCTAGAGCCCAGAGCAATGGAGCTGGCTGTCTATGGACTGACATCTCTGAAACTGTGACCACCAAATAAACTTTTCCTCCTCTAAAATTGTTCTTGTCAAGTCTTTTGGTCACAGCAATGAAAAAGCTGACCAAAACAGAAAGTGATACCAGGAGTGGGTCATTGCTGCAACTAACCTGACCATATGGTTCAGA